CTCTCTCTCTCTCTCTCTCTCTCTCTCTCTCTCTCTCTCTCTCTCTCCTTTTCTGTGCGTTTTATGAATACGTTAAGATGGTCGTGGTATTTCCATCGGCCCCTTCTCCACACCATCTATCGAAGTTTCATTTCATAAAATCATATTCAGTCGAGTTCAGTACAGTACAACCACCGCATAACCAGTATACAGATTGATTATTATCGATTCAAAACTTGAGTGTTTTTAGACGGGAAAAAGAAAATAAAACTTTTGCGCTTTCCGCAAAGTTTTCGCAAAACTCAAACTTTCAACTTTCGAACAACAAACCAAGTCAAAAGGTATTCGCTCAAAGCGAAGGTTTCATCCCTTTTTTTCATTTTTTCTTCTTGCACAACATATATAAGATTGCCGTAATATAAATGATATAACTATTACTTACGTCGTATGGGATGTGAAATTGTTGAACCAAGTTGCATTGAAGGAACATGCGAACGGCTGCACGGCATGTGTCCTCATCGTCAAGATCAAAGTCTGAAAATATTTCAATGAAATCAAAATTCAATTCACTCTAATTGGCATGCACTTTAGCCAAAGTTCTCTCTCTCTCTCTCTCTCTCTCTCTCTCTCTTTCTCTCTTTTTCTCAACTATGTAAGATCAGGACGACAAATTTTCATTTTCTCATCGTTCAGTGCAGTTTTATTCCCCTTTCCATTTTGGTTGGTTGTTTTTCGTTGTTGTTGTTGTTTTGATCAAATTAAAAAGATTTTGCTAAAGTAATTAAATAATTTTCCCTATGAACGACTAACGAGCGATTCCATATCATGTCAAGCTATCACATTGGATAACGTTTCAAGCTACAACAATAATAATTTATCGGAGAGGCTCAGAAGGTGCTTTTCACGTGGTAAGTAACAACGAGGCTACGATGACGATGAGGAGGCAGTGAACAAAATTATGGCATCGTGTTTCAATTACGTCAAGAAGAAACTCACTTATTAAAGGTTGGTAAAACCAACTAACGAATACGATGAAATAGCTTTAAAAATCCAGATGACTCCAATATACCCTTATTACAATCGATAGAGCAATAATACTACACACCAATATCAAGTCAATACCCGATGTTATCGATCATATCATTACCAACAAACAAATTGTCTAAATAATGATATCGATTGCTGAGACTTAGTCAAGAGTTGACAAAAACCTATCAATCCATAGCGTGAGAATGGGAGAAGTGGGGTGAGGAAGAGGGAGAGAAAGAGTTAAGAAAACAAACATGACTGCCAAAAGTCATTAGTCAACATAACACATAACAATAGGCATGGGCAATTAGATGGGAAATTTGATTAGGGAATTAAATTAAATTACTGATAAAATCTATGAAAAACATCGATGATAGCGCAGAGCTTTTATCAAGTATTTATTCGATTTCAATGTCATTTGTGTTAGCGTGGCTAAATACTGTGCGTCGATCATTTTCATTTGACGTCAGGTCTTCTTATTTTAATATGATTACAAATACTAAATGGCCATAGGCACAAACACGATAGCATTAATAATTCGGGCATAAGACAACCGAATTTGGGTGACGATATGAGAGTAAGAGTGAGAAAGTGAGAAAAAACAGAGAAGAAAAAACTGAGGCACAAAAATACACGAAAAAAGTGAGAAAATAAACTAATAAAGGAACAGAAGAAATTATGGTCAAATAACAATACCAAAAAAAAAACTGTCGAAATTGTCGTCAACAACAAAAAAGTCAGCAACTCATTATAATGAAAGACGTCAAGTTGACAAACAAACAGAGGTGGCAAAATTGAATTTTTCATTGTGGTTTTTATTTACTTACCAATAAATTTGAAACTGTAGAGGCAGTAGTCTTCGGCCGATTGTATGGTGTCTTGGACCAATTTGGTGGTTTGAGCAGGCGTCGCAGTCGCATGATACGACAAACATTCTAATGCAACCTTTTGCTTGGCCATCAATTTGCACGCATTCTCATACATTTGCGTGTTATGTATGCCCAGACCACAAAATATGGCGAACGCTTCAATAATAGACACATCAGAGTCGGTGAATGGTGTCCCGTTCTCCTAAACAAACACAAACACACACAACACAATGGAATGAACACAAACAAACAAGAATGTACGCACATCGCACACACAACGTGTCAGCGATTATTGAAAGCGAAACTCCGGCAACAAATTCAATCCTCGTCAGTCGAAGCCAATGATAACGCCACCAACGACGACGACGACGACAACGACGACAACGACGACAACGACGATGACAACGATGACGAAAAATATTTCAAAAATCCTGAGAAAAAGAAACCAAACCAATACCAACCTTATTGATGAATTGAGACACACCAATAACATTTTTCTGTGCATTAATGATTGGCATACATAGCACGGCTGAACTTCCTTGCAGTTCATCGTCAAGTGAAATATCTGGGTGCTCTCGGGCCCATTGCGCTATGTCAATTATATTGAACAATTGACTGGTGGATGCAACTAATTGTGCGATTTGCGCCAAAGACGATGTATTCAAATCGTTGATGGTCGGGCGAGAAATCGTCGGTGTATGACTATCTTGTGCAATGTCAAAAATCATGGTAAAACGTGCACGTGAATTCTAGTCGCCGCCACACGATAAATACAATGACAAAATAGAAAGGAAAAACGTGTCAATAAATAAATATAAACAGACCACACGGGCTTTTCTCCAGTCGACTCCGACACGACTCTATCTCTATATCTCTATATCGGTTTTGTAAATAAAATGCAAATTCCAAGTGGCTTGCTCACCTGTTGTGCTATTATATCCTCGACATTAACATTATGACTTTGGCGTCGCGACAACGGTTGATGATGGACCGATGCTTGCGGTTTCTCGATGATTTTTTCAATGTGACTCTATATGGGTATGCCAGTCAAATCAAATTAGCATATTTGTCAATTCAACCGATAACATACACAACAACAGAAGGCGAAAAAAAATGAACTGTGTATTGACAACGAACATATTGACAGGGGTAAATATATGCATGTATATCAACAACTTACCGATTCACAACAGTCTAGGTCTAGCAAAAATACAGTGGATCGTTTGCATTTTAATAGTTCACGAGCTTCGGTGAGAATTTTCGTAACCAAACACTCTAAATTGTTCTGCTCTTCGAATATGCTGCGTGCTAAATTCAGTAATAGTTGATTGCGACGATATTCTTGTACGGACATTTCGAATAGTTGGGCGTTTTGAATACCAATACCACAAAATGTTAAATAACGACGAAACACCTCGACATCATGCTCGGTAAATTCACCCGGTGCTGTGAAAATCGAATATGCACAGAAAGAAAGAAAAAACACATTTTCTCATTTCCTTTTTGCATTCAAGTCAAAAAAAAAAAAACAAAAAAAAAACAAAAAAAAAACAAAAAAAAAACCAAATAACAACACAACTACAACAACTTCGAATTGATGAAACCGTAATGCATAATAACATCACATGTATACACCCAAAATGTGTGCTATGTGTGCAAATTTGTACGGTGCTTACCTTTCGTCTTATTGATTATTTGAGCCACACCAATGACATCGCCCTCATAGTTACATATTGGCATCGATAGAATGTTTTTCGTTTTGTAGCCGGTTTTTTGATCGATTTCACAATTAAATCGGGGATCTTCATACGCATTCTTAATGTTAACCGTATTTTTTGTTTCGGCTACGGTGCCAGCGATACCAACACCAAACGGAATTACAATCTCTTCGGCATTTGCTAGTCGGGTGGCATCATCTAAGACTGTTGAGCGTTTAAGCAAGAGAAGAAAAAAAAACAGAACAAAACACGTTACACATTATTCAATTTGACTAAAAATGGGGGTTAAGCGTTCGGTTCATCAGCTTACCGGTATCTTGATTTACGTCAAACAGTTTCGCAACCAAATATCGATTTTTAGTCGTTCCCTTTGCCAAAAACAATGAACCGCGATCAGCATGCGTCAGCAAGCATACGTTCACCAATATTTTATGGCAGAGTACGTTAATATCTAACTCATTTGAAATATCACGAATTAATTCCATAAACAGTTCGCCCTCGTCCAAATTCTCCAAATATTGTCGGCTGGTTAATGATGATAGACGCGAGCTTGATGATCGTTTCTGTATTTTTCGACCCGTGGTTGTTGTTTGTTTCAGTTATTAAATTAGGAATTACACGAAAAAGAAAAAGAAGAAGAAGGAAAAACGGAAAATAAAACGAACGGTATTGATTATTTTTAATTTACAAACTTGTTGAAGAACGAAAGAAAAAAAAACCTAGGGGGGTTTCTCACGAAAAAATGAATGAATTCTTATAAATTTTAAAAAATTTCTTCAATTCGGTCCGATTCGATCAATTTTTCTCATTTCGTGTAAATAAAATTACATTAACACTGAACTTTTGAATTATGCTTCAATGAAATTGTTCTGGAAGTGGGTTTTGGTGGATCTCAAGGATCGTTCAGAACTGCTCCCGGTTCTGGAAGTGGATCTTCAGGATGGGCCAGGGCAATGTCAAACCGGATCTGGTCCATCCTGGGGATCCACCAAAACCCACTTCCAGAACACTTTTATTCAAGCAAAATCGTCATTTCAGTACATTTTCATACAATTTCAATAAAAAAGAAGAAATAATAGAAATTTTTGCACATTTGCTCAAACTTTTTGTGTGAGAAATCGCCCTAGAAAAAAACAGTCCACCGATTGTTCGAGAAAAGTCAAATTGAACGAAACAAACACTTACTTGTACCGGTGACGAGGACAGCCACTGTTGAAACAAATCCGATGTCACTGATGAGGTGCGTGGAGCCTGTGGGCTGCGTGGTGAAAAATCCGTGGCTTCATGTAATTTTGATTGAACATCGGGTGCAGCACGATCGCGCAGCCATTTCTCAATGATGTGTAATTTTTTATCGAAAAACTGTTTAACATCATCATATTCTTCATCGTTGACGGCAACGGCATTGTTAATGCCATTGTTTGGCTTTTCATTATTATCACTGCATGGCGATAAGATAATTGATGACGGCGATAAGGCAGCTGCTGGACTATGTTTGCCATTTTCAGTTTTGTTGGCATTGGCGGCGGTAGTGGTGATGATGGTGTTGGTTGTGGTTTCGTTTGTGTCCGATGCGGGTTCTATCATAACATCGTTCGTTTGAAGAACAATGTTACGCTTCGCGTCGCTATTTGTTGGATCCATTGACAAATTCATTAGTTCTTCTGCTCGTTGACACATTGTTCCACAAACACGTCAATTCGTAATATTATCATATGGATTTTGTCATGAACAAAAAAAAGAACAAAAATAATCACTTCAACTTTTGGACTATTCCAAATGGGCCTGGATGACGCGAGGGCTGATTAACTCTTTGATTCAATTACTCCGGTAAAAATATGTGTTCGATTTTCTTTTTTCAGAAGAAAAAACACTGTAGGTACTTTGTGTAGCCAATTACTTCTGGTCAACTCTCATCTTTACACCTATGAAGAAAGGAGGAACAAACGAAATAGAAATCGTCCAGTTTTTAGCACAAATTTAATAAAACCAAGTGTCTAGATACAAAGTACAGTATAGACAAAATACAAGAGTATTTTGCCGTTAAAATTTGTTTAGGACTTGACTGGTGGCTGCTTATATTTATCTATAATCACTCAAGAAGGTTTTCAGGTTATTTATTTAAATCCCATTGAAAGGTCAACACACACACACAGTACTTTCGGTTACTCAACACAACCAACTTCAAAGGTTTTAATATATATTGGCAATGAATGGAGAAAAAAATAAAAGCCGTCTTTCATCGAAGACCCGTGAAGAAAAACATACACAAGAATTGAGACTAAACAACATTCAAAGCTTAGCTGTAATTTGTATAACAAATTCGCGAACCAATTTCAATGAATCATTTCTGTGGACGGGTGGAACAGAAATATAGAATCTGTCGTCGTAGCCTCAAACACTGTTCGAGAATATGTGCAATGTAAATGGGCTGCGGCGTGCACAATATGTCATAATATATCTTATAAGTGTCCACTTGAAGTTTTATACAGATATTAATGAGAAAGCAGCCGTTGTAGAAATACAAAAAAAAATTATATCAACAACACAAAACGAAAACATGAGCAGGGAACATGTGTAAATGCTTTGTACAATCGGCAATAAGCTAATAGTGTGCTGCAACAGCACCAGCAGCAGCAGCAGCACACAGAGTGTTTTACCGTGAACCATTTGTAAATCTTTTTAAACGCACCACACGCTTCTTTATTGGCCACTCGCTCACGCGTTTCGCCACATACGCAGCAACACATGCATCGAACAACACAACACATGGTAAAGATTTCTCTCTCTCTCTCTCTCTCTCCCTCTCCCTCGCGCTCCCTTCCTCTCTATCGTTCAATAAATGCTCCGAAAAACCCGAGACAGAGGACGTCATACAGTGTGAATATGATTGATTCAATGAGCATAGAATCAATAAAAATGCCGTGTGTCGAAGTTTGTGCTGTGTACGGACGGAGTGGAATAAGCGAATAAGCAAGCAAGCGGATTCAATTGAAATTTTGTATGGCCTGTGGCAAAAACGCACCCCCACTTTGCCTTACTCTCGATAAATTCACAACCGTTTTCCAAAAGGATGAAACAAATTGAATTCGGGATTGAAAGCAGAACACTCATTCCACTCTCCGCACACCGTACGCTCTCGATTCTTATTAACTGTCAAGCCAAAATATAATAACGGATTTGTTTGTCATCAGTTAAAATGTGATGATGGTGGCGCACAATTTCACGGTACTTTCCATAATCCTTTTAATAAACTCGAAGTTGAAAAATGATTGTGTCTTTCTCTCGCTCTTATTTAATCGCACGGTGAACCACGAGCAGCAATACCCAATCCAATGATGAAAATTATTGGAATATACACCACAACGACAAACGATCGACCGACAGAGAAAGAAAAAAATCCACATTGAAATAAATCTCTGTGCTGTGTGTATTTTTTTATTCGTCGCGTTTCGTTCGAACGTAATGTAATTATCTTTCCATAGCGCTGCAAAAAGCTTTCGTTTTATATCACGTATGCTTGAACGAAAGTTTTCGGTGGAATAAATGGGAAGAGCCAACGTAATCATATTCAATAAGCGAACCGAACGATGATGCTTAACAAGGAGCAGCAGCTTCATAATGAATTTTAAAAATACATTATTCATATTAAATGTTCCAAACGTTGAATAGTACAATGATAAAATTTGACTATGTTTTTATATGGAGCACATGTTTATGCTATATTTAAGCGATATCTTGACGCTGAACACTGAACTATGAAACTTCTATATAAATATACTGCCAACTATCAATGACAGCAACCAATGACAGCAACAATAGAACGTATTTGTATTGCAAAATACTTCCACCTTGCAGATGGCGCCAAACCAAATGTCATTCTAGTCATTTTTCCCATTGAATAGTATTTCATCAAAGTTTTAACGAATCTCAGCCAGTTGCTTGCTGGATATTAAAATGTTGCAAAATTGCACACACTAATGAATTCGAACATCGAACGAAGTAGTTATATAGAACGGGACGTAGAGAAGCTATCAAACTCTCTAATCTAAACTCAATTTCCATAAGTGATTTGATTAGTTTTCAAGTGTCTTATTTCATACGAACGATAGTTTGTTTTTATTTAACAAGAGATAGAGAGAGGGAGGAAGGGGTAGAGATAGGGAAAAGTAGAAACAGATTGAGGGAGAGAGCAAGAGAGAACGCACTGTGATTCACCCAATCAGACAACAATCAATGTGTTTTAATGTAATATTTGCGACAGTAATAAGTGTAATGTGATATTGCGAAAACAATCGTCGCACATTAATTTGTTGAACGTGCGCGACAAGTATGTGTGTGTGTGTGTATATGGTGTCTGCTTGGGTTCATATTCTTTTTTGAGCGCATTCACTTCGACGAATGACATGGATGAAGCTATGCTTATTCCAGTATCTAACAGTGTAACATTTAAAATTGAAAAGCAAATTAAACATTGATGTTTCTGACAATTTTCATGGAACACACACCACAAGTGGGTGATGCTCCAGTTCTTCGAATTACCTTAGAAAAGCCACACACAAACAACCGATTTCTTTGTATTTTTTTCTTCTATTTTTCTTCTCCTTCTCTCTCTCGCCTTTCTTCTCCGTACCCAAAATTTTACGGTTAAAATATATATTCTAATGAAAAATTATACGGCTTAAATTTTCCACTGTATACAGTAAAAGTATACGTTCATTCAGTGATTGTTGTTGTTTGTTTGAAAAACCAAATCGGTGGGTTCTTTCTAGTTTTGGAGTGTGATTGAATTTTCATAATTGATATACAATTCGATGTGGTATATTTATATGAAATTTTATTAATCATTTTCTGCGCACGTTTTGCGCTAAATTAGCGTTGAGCCATTAAGACATAACCGAATTCACATACACAGCAGCAGCAACAGCAGTAACAACAACAACAAATCACCCTGGAACATTAGCTCCAATTAATCGCATGTTCGAAACACGAAACCATCCAATATTAATTATGGATTATTATATTGAATGCAGGGAGATGCATAATCGATTTGTCTTATTTAATTTTAATGTCATTTTCATCGAAGCGGAATGATTTGAAACATGCAATAAGCCAGTTTGACGTTCACGTTGAGTCGACCAACGCCATCGTCAACATCAGCACCACCAGTACTTGTTTGACTTTCAATGTTGGCTTCGTCTTTCAATTTTTCTCTTTTCCTCTCGGTCTCGCTTTCGCTCTCGAATCGTTTAATGCCTAGTTCACTTTGCTTGTGTTCATTCTTCCATTATTCTTCCATTTCTCTCATTCGCCGCACCGTCAGGATAATGTCAAATGTTAAGCGAGAAGTTCTGGTGAGTGGTCGAAGTCGAAGATAAGTGGTGTGTAATTTTTTGAGGGAAATCTTCTACCCAAACTCAAACACGACAACTCCATGTGGCATAAAGAGAAAGAGAAAGTGAAAGAGAGAAAAACTTGTTGTGTGCACAAGCCAAAAACCAATGTTTGCTAAACTCGAACCCAAAAGGTTTTGATGGTGAAGAACGGTATTTGTAATGCCAGTTAAAAGGCAGAAAAAGAAAATAACAACGACATCGTCTATTTATTTATGCGTAGGTAAAATATGAGGGAAAATGTGACGAGTTGAACTTTGTATCATACGTTAAATTGAAAAATTCTTTCTGTTTCTCACAAACGCCCCGAATCACAATCATAGCATCTCTTTTCGATGCGTATATGATATACACTCGATAAAATGACAATGTGTATGATCCGTTGGCTGCCAACGGGAGGAGGAAAAGAGCGAATCGCCCCCGAAGAAGAATGAAAACAAGCGGCTTTATGACAACGCTTTCACTTTATTATTTCCAATAAAATGCAATTGCTGAATTAATTGCACTTCATTTGCTGCGACGATATGTGTGCGTTGAATGTGCGCCCCGACTAATACGCAACTCATGAATGCGTTCCTTTTTTTCGAATGGCTTTGATGTTTGTTGGATAGCACATGCTTGTTTGGCTGGTTGATTCGTCAACAAAGGCAATTTTTCGATATAAATAACTGCCAAGCAGTTTTTTTTTTATCGACCATTACAAATAGCACCTTGGGCAATATTGGCGCTGTGATGGGCAAACAACGGAATACGCAAGAGAGCGAGAGAAAAAGAAATGGAGAAAAAAATATAGTTTTGCAGCGAAAGCATTGGGGGCGTCTCATAACAAACATAAAATAACAGTGCAGTTTCGAAATGTGTACATGGATCAGAACTGCCCACGAACCAATGATAGAAAAAAAAACCTGCGTGCGTATGTGAATGTTCATAAGGATATTTTTAATTTTAGCTGCCAGCACAAAGACGACACATTTCTACTTACGCTAATAAACAACCTTCAATTTCACGATATCATTGCAAATATGCTTTATCGCTGAGACGCGCTTCGGGAGAGGGAGAGAGAGAGAGAGCGAAATTATTTATGTGCATATGTGGTAAAAACCATTGAGAAATTGAAGAGCATACACAACCATTTCGATAGATATTCACATATTTTGAGTGGCCATAGAGCTTTTTGATATGTAACATGATATTGCTAATATAAACGGAACATAACGGGAGAAAGAAAAACAACAACCATGATATGGAATCTCATACTAAAACCGGTACTAGCCCCTCTAATGTCTCTATTCATTATTCATTTCGATGGACCAAACATGAAATGCTCTTCATCAATAAGTGTAATCCCTTCGATATTCTGTCACGTTGCCGAACAAATCCTTTAGTTCATATCATCATTGAAATTGATTGAATGAATCTCACCAGCGTCGAAAACCCTAATTTGGTTTGACAAATCAGTCGAAAACATTAAAAGTTGGCAGACGTCTGCTGTGTGCGTGTCCATTTTTTGTTGTTATTGTTCTTTCGTTCTTTCGAGAGATGTTTAAAATTAGCTAACAAAAAATAAATAAATTACCTGATGAGTTGCCGTCCGAATATATTCAACGAATAGTTTCACATTCCATCAAAAGCTGAACTCATTAGCGCCAAACGAAAAACAATTTCGTAAAAAACAACAATGTTTTATGTGTGTGTCGTGAAATTGTTTCCATTTAGCACATCATTTAACCATAATAATGATAATTTTACTCTCTTTAGTTATTAATTGAACCGTTGTTGTTCACTGCATTGTTAATTGTGAATTAACAGGCGCGCACGCTTGATACGGTTCGTTTCAATTTATTTAATTGCATTCGAAATTGTTGTTGTTTGCGTGTGATTTTTTCCTTGCCTTTTACTTTTATATCCTTTCTTAATATTTTAAAATTCTACTCTCGCTATTTTGCATCACACTTATATATTTTGCAACGAGTTTGCGAGCAAATGTTGCCTTGATTTTATTTTTTTCTTCTTGGTGAAAACTGTTGTGTATGTGTATTCTTTGTGTGTTCATGGAATCATGATTTTTGAGTTTTTTTTTCGTCGTCGTTTGGTTTAAATTGATTGATTATCTATTGACATTTTCGGAAGGGAAAAATTCCTTGTGTCGAAAAGTTCGACTTAAATTCCAAATGATTGCTCATATAGAGTAGCAGCAGCAACAAATTCGAATCAAATGTGATAACATTATAGTAATTTTTTTTTCGTCTTCTTCTTGTTTCTTTCTCCTTTCCCGCACGGACGATAAATACGAAACTCAGCCCCCTGAATCTTCTATCTAGCCTTAAAAAAAAGCCCACAATTCTCTTCTATCGTTGATTTAGCTCGCTCTACCAACTATTCACAATAAAAAGAATGAAACATCTATTTCTTTTCGAAGCACTGATGGCTTAGATATATGTATAATTCCGTTTATTTTTCTGTGTGTTCTAAAACACAAAAATTCTGTTCGTGAAAAGCACTGTAAAAAAAGAAAATAAGTGCAGCAGTAACGCACATATACACGCACACACGACCGAAAAAAAATAAAAATTTTCGCTTCCACAAATACACAACGTGTGTATCCGAGCCAGCGAGAGAGAGAGAAACTGACTTGAAAAATGTGCGATGGAACGGAGAGAGTGTAACAAGGGTTTTGATTCAACGATTGTTAGCATAAAACTGAACTTAAAATTTGTTTAACAAGTAAACGAATGCGAGTAGCAGCATGTGAACCGTTTCGCTTCTATATGTTGTGTGTGTTTTTTGTTGTTGTATGTGATCCATAAACAGTATACAGTGCTTGTGCTTCTGCTTCTGCTGCTGATGCCGCCGTTGCTGCTTTATTTTTTTTATTGGGTCATACGCATACAATTGTATGCTCATGGCAATTCCAGTCATTCGCTCTCTATCACGCGCGTTCTTCGCTCTTGTAAATTTCACGCAACACACACAATATACACATTGATGCCTTCCGAAAAATTCCTTCGATGGTGGTTGTATACATGCTCTCACAATTCGAAGTAGGCAAACCGTCAGAAGTAGTATGGCAAAATAACGAATTGCCGAAGCATGCCAAAGAAATATTTTCATTGGAGGTAAAATGTTGAATTACCACCAATGTTTTTATTCGGTAGGTAAATTTGAATTCAGTGGAAAAAAGCCGCTCAAATAAATCACAGACAGCTAAATTGGTATTCTCGCCATCGAAAAAGAATGAACACATTAAGAATTAAAAAATATTTCCATCATGGAATTCGAACCTTTGCCCACTCATTTGCCAAGCGCATTCGCTACCAATTTAGTTGTCTGTGATTTATTTCAACGGGTGCTGTTTTGCCCTTTGAATGTGGCAATCCTTGCACATACTTCGTTTGGTTGCGTTCATTGTGTGTGATCACGTTGGTGTGCGGAAACACGATTGTGTATGAAACATTCAGTGTGATCACAACCGATTGTCGAAAATGAAAACAAAATCAGAAATCGGTGCAAATCGTATCGTGTAATAGCCGAAGAAGGCTGAACAACAAATTTAATTAGCCTTTTTTCGTGTTGCAAAGATAATTCGAGATGATTGTTGTTACGAATTCAATGTTTTGTGCCATTTGGAATTAAGATTCAACTCACTGTTCATTGCTGCAACACTCTTGATGAAAATTTGAAAAAAAAAACAATCAAAAAGATTTATTTCTCACTAATTATACGTGTTTGGTGTGTTTTATCACTCTTCAAATGCCTTGTTAGCGGCTTTTTTCCACTGAATTCAAATTTACCTAGCGAATAAAAACATTGGTGGTAATTCAACATTTTACCTCCAATGAAAAAATTTCTTCGGCACGCTTCGGCAATTTGTTATTTTGCCGTACTACTTCTGACGGTTTGCCTACTTCGAATTGTGAGAGTGTACTATATATATATAGGAATATTGGGGAAAAGGTGTTTAAGCGGATATATTCGGCAACACATAAGGTGACCAACTGAACATACGTCAAGCCTAGAGTACCAGCAAAGCTGAGTTATCTCTCATTCGATACACGAACTTTTGTAAGCTGGGGAAAAACCATTTTGTGTGTGCGAGTGAGATTTTCCATTTATTTGAGAATTACATACATTTTATCTGACGGCGAAAATCGAAATACACAGCAAGAGGAAAAAAAAACTCAGCCGATTTGGTCTCTTTGTCGCATTTCAAGTTCGATTTGGAGAAAAAGAAACAACTGAAATCGACAAGCACACTTATGTATGAACAAAAGCTCGAATTACCCTCGCAATTGTGAGCGAAACAAAAGATAAATGGAAAAAAATTGAATGAGAACATAAATGCTGTATAAATTCGGGCTATCTATCTTTGTCTGTAAATGAAGGGCTTCACAACTGAATGCCGTATAGTTGAATTATACGCACACACTTTTACGTCAGCGTGTGTGCGTGTATGTGTATGTGTGTGTACACGCGGTGGAAAGTGGTGTGCGTTTAAAGCGTGCATGCGTGCGCGCGCGAGAAAATGCAAAGAAAATACAGACCTTCGACAACACACACTCTCTATATCTATCTGGAAGGCTAAAGTGTGACTGTGACAGAATACAAAAAATAAGCAGGGGAATCCACCACCAGTTTTGAAGAAGTCGCATCAACGAAGCAAAAGACAAGAAAAAAAAACACAGCAACCCACAAGAAAAAAATATATTTACCGACATAACGTCAAGCATGCATTCCACGTCAAGAGAGCGCGGTAACCAATTATTTGATGGCCTTTAATGATGATTTTTGTGGCATTCCAATAATTTAACGCGTTTCCCATTGAAATTAATGTAATTATTCGAACGAATGTTGTTTAACCGAACGAAGCAATGCGCCTCTCTTGTGCGCTTTCGCCTTTGATGTGAATGAGCGAGTTGTAACTATTGCCAACGAAAGTCAGCGAGAGGAAGAGAGGGGTTGAGAGAGAGAGAGACAACTTTACGAAATGCTCGCCAAAACGGCAACAACGTTGCTGTGGGAAAAAATGTATTGTAAGTCTTGTGTTAGCTATGGGATGAAGGAGATTATTTTTCAAAGCTTGTGAGGTCTACTGGTCGATAGCTTTGTTCTCAAACGACGACAACGACGACGACGACGACGACGACGACGACGATGATGATGATATTGTGTGCGCAATGAGACCAGTTGTGTGTAGTCACATAAAGGCAAACAGAGCGCCCGAGCTGAAGATTGTGCTGTTCGCTTTTAGTCTGCCTGAATTGCAAATCATCTTGAAAAGCAATAAAATTGATGCGGAATGGCTCTCGGTTGCATGTAATATTCATGGACTTAGACTCGTATTCATTCGTTCATTTTCTCTCAGGGATAGCTGTTTGGTGTCATTGTTTTCATTTTCCCCTTCACACTATTCACGTCACTCCCGATATACCCATTCATATCGCAACTCTTCTTGATTTTTCTTTTTTCTTTCATTCCGCTGGTGCTGGGTACTGGTGGTGCTGCTGAAATTGTTGCACTGTGTGAACAAGCCATTTAGTTGCAAATGGATTGAGAGTGCAAAGAGGTTTTAGCATGCTTTCGGCTGCAATTTGAAATTATGTTGTCGGGGAAAAAATGTATACCGTATTTTGGAGCCATCCAACATACTTACACCGATTTGAACACGCAACATTCAAACAAAATCACTCTCACAAACATTTTCAATTAGAAAGAGCTTTGGAAAATGCTGTTACTTGGCCAATTCCTTCATCTGGCCCGTCATTCTTTCGTTTCATCTCAGACCTCTCCTGTCCAGACTTTTTCTACTAATTCTTGCTCTCTCTCTCTATCTCTCTCTCTCTCCCTCGCCATTTCTCTCTGGCGCTCTGCAATGAACTGGGCACTTTTAATATTTGTGAACTGTTGTGTTCATAATTCGAATTACTTGCTTTTAATTTAATGAATTTTCTATGAAATATAAGAGCCAATTGGTTTGTCGTGGCGCTGTCGATGGTTTTTTTTTTTTAAGAAATTAAAAAAAGGAAATGAAAATGCGGGCTCGTTAAAATACATATGCGAATAAACAAACAACAACAACATTTTTTTTCAGCTTCGTTAAAATGCACATACAAAATGCTGAATCTTCAGTTAGAGCACTGCGATAACGTAACACAACTACTTCACCGTAATCAATAATAATCAATTTAATATAAAGTTTTAATGAGGCCAAGTGTCTATGTATGTGCTATATTCAACGAAATATTTAAAATACCGTTTTCTAGGCAGAACACAATCACTCTCTCTCTCTCTCTCTCTCTCTTCCCCGTAGCTACGTTTAATTGAGGAACCGGCGGGCTTTTTGCGCATTTCATTAAATGAGAAACGATTTTATTCACACAAACTGTGGTTAAAAATCCTTTTAGCAGCAGTCAATTTGAAATTATAATTTCATTTTTCGACAGAAACACAGTGAAAACATAATTTTTCATTTATGAATTTTAATCTCATTTCATCTACTATGCTATTACATTCTGTACCAAAAAAAAATGTGTTTAAACCTTAACGAGAATATTAGAAATTGAAATTTGGAAGCACTAAAACTATACAAAACATTTCACTCGTACAAAATTTAATGCGTCAGGGTGTCTAGCACTATGCGGTTCATTATGGTCGTTCGTGCGTGCAATCGAATATACGTGCATAGGTCTCGGTGTAGAGTAATGTACATCTGGCTGCATTGTTATCGTATGACATTTCACCAATTTTAAATTCTGGATTCACGGATATTTTGATTGTGTATGTGCCGGTTTCCATTTCACTGATGTCAACCCATTGGCAATCAATATTGAATCGATATATATCGGAGCAATTCACCGAAATGCCTGTTCAAGTGGATGAAAAATCCAATCAATTCAATTGCAAATTGTATTTATGTGTGTGTGTGTCTGTCACACACGGAGTCATAAATTTGTGCACTAAATTGATATTACCTTGGTCGCCAAAGTCTGCGCAAGCATAACGCGGTTGAACATCATCCAAACACTGGTTGTCTTCCAAGCAGAAGGATGCCTTGTGACCTTCTGCCACCCGATGTCCAGTGCTATTGTAAATATAAAACGTTGCAAATACTTCCATGCTGTGATAATGTCTGCCCGCAGAGAAAAAGAATAAAGTGAATGAAAAAAAAAAAATTGAAAATCGATTTGAAACACGAAAACAAAAAGCATCAAATGGTTTGCCTTACTGATGACACAGATGCCACTCCCATAGATGTTTTGGAATATTTGATCGAAAGTCAGCGGTGCCCGCATTCAGTGTGCGAGCAGTGAATTTTAATAGTCGACGCGTTACCATGTGCCAATCGTTGACATCACGTTGAATTTCATATGCTCGTGATGCCAAACAGTTTTCCTCCATGGCACACTGTAGCAAGAGCAACGGTCGATCTTCCAAGTGTGCACTTTGGATTAGTTCATTATAATCAAACACAAGATCGGCCATTTGTTCCGTACAAATCACGGCCGCCACTTTTGACTGATCGCCCGGGCACACAATATTGCCCAGTTCGTGGTGTTTGCAATGTTGCAACGATGTTTCATTGCCATAGCACTCCGTTCCACTGATGAGTATTTTGGATAGTGTTTCATTACTAAATAGATCCGTTTGCAGTGCATTGCTGGCATAGCCGAGGTTTAGGGATTTACACACAACGTTTGCTTCTAATAATGACCAACCATCAGCACAAATTCCGCCCCAGTGGCCTTTTTTCATTACTTTATTAAAGCGGATCTGTTTGAATATGTGGAAAAAAAAGTGTTTTTCTTGTATCTCTCTTTTTTTTTCTTCAATTTTTTGTTTTGTTCGTTGTTCTCCCGAATGCCACAACAGTAGTGTGTGCGTATGTGTTAGAAAATCTCACCTCAACTTGGCCCTCGTATTTATTACGGCCGCCCGTTAGCCTCAATTCAACGTCGTACTTTTTGCTAAGCAAATGCTTCGTTGGTTTTTTTGCTTGGATTTTTGTTTTCATTGATTCGTTGCCGCTGCCGTTTTCGTCATCAGATCCTTTGCAAACAACGCCCGCTGCTTCGGATGCTTCGCAATCATTCATACCCCATCCATTGAAGCGACAGTGTTTAATTTCAGTTTCATTGCCATCGCAATGAATATTATCCATCCAGAACCTCCCTTAGTGAACGAGTGAAGTGAATTTAACATAATTTGGTTTAATTAATGCCGAAGCGCACGAAAAACGAAGAAGAAGAAGAAAAACCATCGTGCACACACCACCCTTTTTCTCTCTTTCTCACATTTTCGGCATTGGAATGAGAATGAGAGCGAGAGCGAGAGATAAGAGGGGAGAGAAAGAGAGAAAAGTAAAAGAAAAATAGAAATAGAAAAAAAATGGTTTTAGCGCTTACGTCTTGCCGTTCCAAAATATCCGCTGTGAGTAATTTTCTCAAATCCAATAAAACCCAATTGTCTGCATATAACTTGGCCCTCGTTTTGATCCCATTCGTCATCGCATATATTTCCCCATTTCAAATCATGCAGAATTTCCACATTTCCTGTCACACACACACACACACACACACACACACAGGGAGAGAGAGAGAGAGAAAAATGAGATCAGAAGCGGTGTATGGATGTGTGCACGTTTGGACAACGACAAAAACAGGTGTACACAATGGTCGTTAAAAATGTTTACGACAAACACCATCAACAACAACAGATTGATTTCATCGAATTCCACATTGACCAATATATACATACAAAATTCCAATCCAGATGATTCATTGACAAACAAGTTACGAAATTTTTGCGCCTGTCGCTTTGTTTATATTTGTTTGCGCTTCGGCAACCGTTGTTGTTTTTCGAAGAATATTTCTCAATGATTACATTTGCATTTTAAATGGATACACACACACAGCTGGTTCGGTTTTCCGAAGTGCACATCTGAACCGAAAACCATTGACTGTTATGATGCGTGCATATATGTGTGTGTGTGTGTGTGTGTGTGTGTTACGTTGTTTTGGCAAAATCAGTTGACCAATTCAAGAAAATGCCCGCAGTTTGTATACGTGCGCTCGATCGACTAACGTAATAGATATGCTAGGCTGAAATTATTAATTTTCTTCTTCTTTTTTTCTAAATTTCAGCATAGCCACTTCTTTTTGTCGTAAATTATTCAAATTGAGTGGGTGGCCCGACATTGACGGGCATAATATAAATATTCAGCGATTACTTTAATTGGATTGAATGAAGATCAGAAAAACAGCATCAACATGCAATCCTTCCCAATGAAGAGCATAATGATGATGATGCCAAAGAGAAGCGCACTCATACACACACACACACATCCAAAATATTCAACAGAAGTCAGTTAACTGTGAACATTTTGCTACCAATATTGAAATTCCATTTTCCATCGTCTGACACACACGAAATGTGTTAACTTTGATGAGCGCCAAATGATGTGTTTAATGAATTAACGAGTTAAGACACGGCATTTTCAACGGAAAATAAATTCAGCATCCAAAGGGAGCAAAGTTAAAATTGGATTTTACGTTGTTAACATAGTTACATTCACTTATCGCTTAGTGTTCAGTGCCCCGGCTAGAGATCGAAATCACCAAATAAATTCGATGCAATTTGAATATTTCTGAATGTAACAATATCTAGGTGGAATTCTTCCACCAGAACAATTTAGAAGAGAAGAAATTTGTAGAAACTCAATGAAAACGACTTTGTCATGGGCTGAACGCGCCATCAGAAAAGAGATTTAATCTCATTCAATATGAACGCGCAAAAGAATCAGATATGACGAATGAAATTCAAAAAATTCGTGAAAATGAGATTGAAAACGGTGGAAATATTTGTAGAATATACGAACGAATTGTATTCGTGTGCACGAGTCGTAAAATGCATGCGGAAACCTTTTGATGGTGGCCAACATAGATTCAAAGCCGTTTCCCTACGGAAATTCTGGATTTTTTTTTATTGCAAGCAGTGGAAATTCATAGAGAATTTCAATGTCAATCAAATGTATGCCTCAAACGTCATGTTCTATCCAAATGTTCCGATTGGAATGATGTAAGCGTTCTATGTGTTGCTGAAGAATTTCAACTAGAATTCGAAATATACTTACCTTCATAATCAGTTGTGCCCCCCACCAGACGAATGGCTCCTTCTTCCTTGCGTAGTTTTTTCCAATATTTCTTCGCTGGGCTATGATATAATTGTTGTGCCTCTTCTAACGTCGAATGTGACAATACAATTGTCGACAGCTGGCAACAAATAACAAAAACGCACCAAAAACAGCCGGTTAACTTCATAATTATTATTGCAGGCGATTCAACAGGAAATGCCGTTTGAAATGGTCAAAGCAAATACTGCCTGCAAATTAGTCAAAAAAATGACCTTTTGATATTCTACAAAAAAAAAAACTATGATCGGCCAATAGTAAATTTTCACCCCGAAGAAAAAGTGATTTAAAGCACGATTATGTAACTGATAAACGTAAAAAAAATTACTGCAAATTAGAAGCCGTTTGGATGAGCTTTACTAGCTTAGTCCATGTTTCGTGAGTATCTTTTGTCGAATAACTTTCCAGATGACTTTATAATTCAATGACTTGACGACAATTTGATGTGAATGACGGATGAAACAAAGATAGAAAGAGAGAAAAACCATCTCAACAGTAACCACACAACAACGACAGCAGCGTGTGATACAATAAACGGTTTAAGAATCAAATACATTTTGACACACCGGCTAACAAAGACCCAATCTAAAATAGTTTGCTCTCTCATCTCAGTAGACGGATCGATCTATCGCGCGCGGCGGCGATGGCGTTCGCACACTTCATTTCACTTTTGATTTTTCTCTCTATTCTCTTTGTTGTTTCTGTCTTCGGTTGTTGTTTCAAGATGATTTCACATCTGCACACCGAAATTCACGTAAAATCAGTGATGATGAGGCTATTTACTTAAAATGGTCACATTAAATAAAATCCAATCATCGATAAATCAATTCGGCATATTTGGTATACAAAAAGCAATGGAGGGCGTGCGGTCGTTTGCATCATCTCTATCTCGCTCGCTTTGTGTGTGTGTGTTGATTCTTCTGTCTGGCTGAGTTGCTTGATATTAATTTCAAAATTGTTGTCGTGTATGTTATGATAACTTTTGTTTTTTTTTCTCTTCTCTTCTCTTTTTTATGTTTGAAACCACGTGGAAATCGATTATTTACAGTGAATTACGTGACCTAACGCGCGTATACGAATTTTATCTCGATACAGATACATCGCTCTTGTCGCATCAAAGTTTTTTGCACAACAGTTTCTGTGCGCTAATTAGCCCAAAGGGAGGCATAATCATGTTCAACGGTACAATTTTGTTCTGCCGATGTTTATCCAACCGAAAGTAATGCAGTGAAAAGAGCTTCTCCCATATGCACAGCAACCACATCGATTTGGTAAAACTCTTCTTCGCCTTTCGTTTATATGGAAGGCTATGTTTATTACGACATCACAACTCGAACGTCATAGCTGATTTGAAGAAGAAGAAAAAAACACCCGCACAAACTCGGTGAACGATGATAAAGTATGCCATATTTTCGTGGAATTGTTTACATTCTTATTTCAAAAACAGCCACAATTATAGAATGAAAGAACATCTAAACTGAGTTCACTGCGAACAACGTCTCTTTTACGCTAACAGCAATTCGTACACAAACGAGTCAGTGTGACAGTTGGCGTGAGCGAGACAAAGTTTGACAGCAAACAATTTGGTTATGTCGGTTTAAATGTTCTTTAGGTTTCGTGGGTTATAATTCGATTTAAATGCCAACGCCGATTTCTTTTCAATGGCCAATTTTCTCTGTGTGTGTAAAATGTCCCTACTTATTGGATGAAATCAAATCCGTCCCAAAAAGTACCAAAATTGTCCTAAAAAATTACAAAATCGACCCAAAAAATAACAAAATCGTACTAAAATAATTACAAAATCGTCCCAAAAACATTTCATAAATAATCCCTAGGATAATAATGAGTGGACACACACTCGGCATGTCTCTTGGCATGTCTATATTATGAGTACTTTCATGCCATGGTGGTCGTTTTCAGTAAAAGGAATCAATAAAAAGGAATTAGATTCAGTCTTCTTGTTTAAACAAAAGATATGGATCTTTGGTAAAAATTGTGATATTTCAATAAATAGTCGCCTTTTTTGTATGAAATCATTTCTGATTCAAAGATAAATTGACCAAATATTAGAGTCCAATGATTTCCTTACGTAATCGTTTTCTGCAGCGCAAGAGTCCCAAAACATAACAAAATCAGACCAAAAAACTCGTGCTGAAAATTGGTTGTGGCGTCTCCACATAATACCTAAAATATCTTATTTTAGCTTGCGCGGCAAACGCAACTAAATTTTCATTCGTTGCATCGTTTTGCAGTCCAATAGTGAGCGAAATACTCACTGATTAAAACTCAACCACATTCGAAAATTAGATCGATTTATTGCAGAAAAATGATATTTCAGTAAAAAGAAACATAGGCTTACTTTACATTAAAGTTTTTTAAACTTTCACGTACAATTTAATTTAGAAATGTAAGCAAAACATCTTCTGCTATTAGGAAACGTTTTCTTTTTCAACAAATACATTGAGATAAAATTGATATCTTTTGCTTTAATAAGAAGACTGATGTTCTAATTCCTTTTACTGGAAACGACCACCATGGCATGAAAGTACTCATAATATAGGCATGCCAAGAGACGTGCCGAGTGTGTGTCCACTCATTATTATCCTAGGGATTATTTATGAAATGTTTTTGGGACGATTTTGTAATTATTTTAGTACGATTTTGTTATTTTTTGGGTCGATTTTGTAATTTTTTTGGGCGATTTTGGTACTTTTTGGGACGGATTGATTTCATCCCTTCTTATTTCGTAGAATTCTCGATTTGAAAGACCAAAAATCCTAAGCACTAAGTAACAAAACTGATTTTGCTTCATATTTTACCACATTTTTTTTGTGTATTTATAAGAAAGAAAAAATGTTGAAATAACAAATCGCTGTGTATCGTTGCATTGAACGCCGCAATCAACTTTAAGAATTAATTGCAAATGTTTTTTATTGCGAAAAACCATCATCATTCTTGATGATTGTAAATTTTGATACTTTTTTCAAATAAATATTCATCACTTATGAAAAACTGATTGAATTGAATTTCAAAGAATAACGATCCAGTGGGGAAATTGTGCGAATCTCATCATATTAACTTCACCAAGAAAACACTGGCGACACATCGTCGCTTATGTTCTGAAAGCCTGAAAGGTAGTCAAGATTTTGAAGAAAAAAGCTTGAAGGAAATCAAAGAAAGAAATGTAGATCGAAAAGTACTAAAAACAAAAAAGCCCAGGAAATCGAATTTTCAACATTTCTACGCGAAAGTACTTGACATCACCCATGATAAAAAAAGCTACTTCCAATTAAGAGAATTTTAATTTTATAGAGAGTTTATCTTGACTGCGTCGTTTTGCCTACCCGACTTGCCGATATTTCCGAATTTTTTCATTTATCTCAGAAATGGATGGTTTTTTCGCTTGAAAATCGCCCTTAGGGTCGGTACCTCACATGAAATTTTCCGCCCGATCGATTGAGACTGGTCTGAACTTTACCCGATTCCCCAATTTCACACAATAGCGCTTTTCCGAAAATTTTCCAACCAAAAAATGTATGTGTTCTGTGCATAATAATAGTTTGGTGCGTGGGGTAACTTTTCTAAGACTTGTGGTAATCATACTCTTCACCAATAGATAGCACAAACCTACCACATTTTATTTCTGTGTGTAAGCGTGAAAATGGCATGAACGTAGCATGCGTAAGTAATACACGCCGCATATATAAAGCGTGCTTTTTTTTTATTGAGTTAAGGCTGAAAAGAAAATGATTATTTCGGACTTCTGAAAAATAAAACATACTGAAAAAGATAGAAATTTGACAGTACTTTAACATGCACGTAGCATTCCTCCAAATTAACCCTCGCACAGGCACATGGTTCTGGCCAGGCATATTTCGATTTTGAGCGTTAATTTAACATACTTCTAATTTAGATATCGAAAAATGCTTCCGGGTACCCTCCTAAAATTTAATTGGCTTTCGATCTATGCATTCAAAAATTGAAAAAAGTCCTTAAAACAGGACGAAAAAAAAGGATGTAAAATTTACACCTTCCTACAGGCACATGGTGCCTGGCCAGACCCCTATATATTTTGTATGAAAACATATGGAATATAGTGTGTTTTGATGATTCTATGTGGTTTTTTGCCTCTCTTACATTACCTCGTTTATTTTCCTCAAGACAGATATCATTTATCACTAATCAGTTTCGCGGAATACGCGAAAAATCGTGAAAATTCCCCTTCTCATTATACACGGTACTGATAAGAGATAAGTGATATCTGTCTGCAGCAAAGTTGTAGAGCAGGTCAAGTGCTATACTTTTTGTGAAGATACTATCTCCTTATCTCTTATCAGTTTCGCGAAAAATTATGAATGATAAAAAAATGATAACTCGCGTTTTTGGCGATTTTTCGCGTAACTGATAAGAGATATTGAAATGTAGCATGAATAAAATTATAGAACTCAATCTGCCTTACAAATTTGCTGAAAACACATATCCCTTATCTCTTATCAATTACGTGAAAAACGATGAGGAAAAACGCGTTTATCTCGCGACTTTTTTGAGGTTATCTGCGTATTTTGCGTAACTGATAAGAGATACGCGATATCTGCCCTCAGAAAATTTGTAGGGGACCTTGAATATTACAACTTTACCGAAGATACCAAGCCGTTATCTTTTATCAGTTTCGCGAAAAAACGCGATTCTTTCTTATCACTTTTCGCGGAACTGATAACAGATAAGAAGATATTGTCTTTGAAAAAATTGTAGTGCTTGACCTGCATGTAAATGCAAAGGGGTCTGGCCAGGCACCAAGTGCCTGAACTAAGCTTTGAAAATATGTGCCTGTGCGGGGGTTAATGCATACACCCTAAATTTAAACTTAAAGATTTTTTTGCAAAATGAAGGTTTATTCTCAAATAATGGTGAAATATTTTCATTCAAAGTATTGTCCATCGGAAGCGACACTCTTTGTCTATATTTTAGGCAATTTACAGAAACCGTCTCGAAAAAATAACGGTACTTCTGACCCTATAAACGGGTCGATTGATTTTCCAAGTTGTTGAAAAAGAAGTGAACCGTTCTCCACTTAGGTGATTTTGAATCATCTGAAACAAATGATAGTCAGAAAGAATACAGCGGGGGCATAGCGGGTATTCACATTCAACTGCTTCTTAGAAATTTTTAACTTGCTTGGTGAAGTCATTAAATTTTTTTTGCTTCGACGAACCAGTTTTTCTGAATATTGAGCAAATTTTCCAATTCTACCGTCGGAAATTCGTATATAACGATTAGTTATTACAATTTGATTTTATCTCCGCACAGCGGACCATATCTTCCCTACTCACGCATATATGGCAAACCACCCATTTCCGAAGGAGCGATTGCGGCGATCAACTATTCCCTCTGGGTGTGAGTGAGTATATTTGTCACAAACGCTGAGTCTTTTTCCATATAAATTCCATGCACCTTCAATTTGATACGCCGATGATGATGCACCAAACAAGAAATTTTCAGGAAAATATCGGTTTGATCTTTTTTCCAATTGACCTTAGTTACTTCTCCAAATCTGAATAAATAAAGTTTCTTGTTTTATTTTCTACTATTTCACTTAGCACAACTAAAGTAAAAATTAAGAAAAAAAAAACACAACAATTTGGGCATAGACGCATGTTTGCGATTTTGTTTCAAAAAAGACATTGACACTGACTTCTGAATTCGTACCACGTGTTACACACTGTGTATATATAAATAGAAATCAAAGCTAAATACAGAATTGCGTAATTGAAGTGATACCTACATTTCTATCGCTAAATAAAAAAGAAACTTTTTCCTCGTGACGAAAGTGAACAGAAAACAAGTGATATTAATTTAAAAAAATTATTTCGGATCGATGTGAAAACTAGTTAGAAGAATACAAAATAGGCAAATTCAAATTGCTCCGAAATGATTTTTTGAAATTGATATCACTTGTTTTGTGTTCGGTTTCGTCACGAAGAATGACTTCAAGGGAAGTTTTTTTGTATTTGATAAAATAATTACTTAAGACAAAAAGTCGTTTATATTCATATAAGCTTACTGAGACTGGAGAATAGACGTACTACCAGCTGTAAAGTAGTGTGGAAATAGTTTGACTTCTTTCATAAATATAAGAACTGAATTTCAGAGAAAAACCCAAACAGAAAAAGAGAGAAAAGTGTTAATTCACAACATATCAATGTATGGACTCAGATTAGGGGTTCGAATTATTTGAAATTTCCCTCCGGGTTTAAGGTTGTTCTCTTTAGGTAAATCAGTTCGTATGTAGTGCCATCACTTTGATACAAGTGCCATTTGTCGCATTTGCAATTTGAATTGAGCAAAATTTCGTTTGAAAAATCGTTTTCAAAAGAACCATTGAGACCACGTTATTTGAAAACAATAAAAATAGCTATCAATTCCATTCACTGAAGTAGGCTCCGTTTGTGCTTGATCGGTTGGATCACCGGACGATCGATTTTTGATTTCAAACTCGCAGAAAGGGACGCTGACTAGTGGTAGTAAAGTGTTGTACTGTTGTACTTTTATTCGCTGATGGAGCGGCAATAAGCTGCAGAGCTGATTATCATGACAATCCATGATTTGCCTGTGCGTCCATCATCATAAGCTGGCATTGCGACCGCGAAACGAACGAGAAAGAAACGGTGAGTAACCAAATAGGTCTTTGTATTTGAAAGTGATGAATCTTCTCGTAGAATCGAAGCTGCAAAAATGCAATAATCTCTGTTTATCAAAGAGTTAAATATTATACACATCCAAAAAGAAAAAAAAATCGTTTTGTTGTTAGGGCAATATTATTTTATATGTATTCGGCTTAAATGACAAACTCTACTAATGATTATGTCTTACGTTCGCAAAAAAAAAACGAAAATCTATTTGAACGTTTTTGTTTGCATAAGTAGGATGACGCGGTGAATTTAGCGCTCCGATTGTATGAGTGCAAATCGATGGTCACTTCATAAACAGTCTTAAAAAATGTTGTGCACGAAACAAAACGGAAATGTATGTCAATGTATGCCTGTATCAAATGCAATTAAATCTTTTTTTACCAATGACATTTATTTAGAATTTTCACATTTTTCAAGGATCTTTTACATCTGTTTTCCAGATTTTTCGATTCATTTTCTTTTTTTTGCAGAGATTTAGTTTAACTAATTTGTTTTTACTAAGCATAATTTGCTTTATGCTCTGTTGCTTGTGACAATGTAACGTCAGCATGTTAACAACAGAGGATATTCAAATGTGCAAAAAGTGTGCGAGAGTTTGAGAGTGTGGAAGAGAGAGTAAGGACTTGTGCACGTCTCAACGTAGCATTCATCTAGGCATTCATTGTGAACATTTATTGGTTAACGAATATTTTGCTTCGAAACCAATGAATACAATTTCGTTTTCCCTTCTTACTTTTTCATTTGAAACTTTTTCTCCCATTTCTTCTTCATTTATATGAATTTTGATGAAGAAAAAAAATTCTTATACACCCATTTCATTAAACATTTAATATTCATTATTGATCTCATCGCTCTAAAGTGAGAAGTGAGTTTTTCATCCACGTTCAAACCTTATAATTCGCTAGAATAATGTCGTACACAAGTTGAGTATATATGTATATCCACTTCAATGGTATATTTCAGAGCGTGTCATGAGCTGATATCAGCTGCTGACGAGTATGCGTTGCGTTGTTTCAACGCATTTGCAGTGCAAAATTCATATTCCTTTAGTGAAAGGGAAACGTTCCATTCAAAAAAAGAATGTGTATCGATGATTGAACGTTTCCCTTTCACTAAAGGAATGTGAATTTTGCACTGCAAATGCGTTGAAACAACGCAACGCATACTCGT